ACAACCTACTTCTAGCTGCACGTAAAAGCCCCATTGGAGACCCAGCACACTCAGAATTTGTGTATAGCATGTACAAACAAGTAGCTTGAACATACCCGCGGATCTCCAAAAATGGTAGTTTCCCAAAATAGGGGGACCCCCATGTAGACCCCAAAATACTATAATCCTTAGTATAGGGACTCCCAAAAAGGTACCCCTAATTTTGGGGAACCCCCAAATAGGGATCCTAGTACAGTCCTGCATAATTACCGATATCATCTCGCTGTCTATTTGACGTATCCTGTAATTTAGGTGGACCCCCCACCCAGTAATAGTGACTATAAGGGATAATAGGGATCATATTAGGGTCCTCTTATATTCTTATTATACCACTATTACAGGGTGGGGGTCCTCCTATCCTATAATGTCAATGAGGAACCTTGGACCATACTTCTGGTAGACAACCCTAAACCTAAACACCTAAACCCTAAACCCTGAACCCCCCAAACCCCAAACCATAAGCCCTAAAGCTCTCTTTTCTACCGTTCTTTCGCGAAACCCCTGCACACTAGTAAGGCCCTGACATCGGAGAAGTACAGGCCTTGCAGATCACACAGTTACCATGTCTTGGCTTAGGGTTGAGGGTTTAGGGATGTCTCCCCCCCTGACCCCAGTACTACATTGGGGAAACTAGGGTATCATTAGGTTCCTTTTTTTGCATCCTTTAAGGGTCAAGGAATGGGAGTCATTGTACTGATTAGCAATAGCTATAATACTGATAGTAATCAGCAATCGTAACAATAAAGAACAGTCATGCTAATAGCAATAGGAATCGCTGTGATAATAGTCAAGTTCTGGTAATGGTACTGTAAGTAACCCTGATAATGAAGCTCCACCCTATTACTACATTCGCGTCTTAATGACATTTCAACACATTGATTGGTCTTGGTAATTTGCCATCGCTCTGCTGGCCTTTTTCAGATGATGAACTGCTGATCTCTTTATTCTTTTTTCGAGCTATAGTCTAAACTCCTAGTATCCCCCCGAATAACCGCTATAATACTCCCCTATGTAATCCCCTAGATGACCCCCTTTAAGGCGAACAGCTCATATAACCTCCGACTATCCCTAGACAACTAGCTGCTTGCTTCCCTCGACAAATTGAGCTTTTCAAAATACGAACTCCTAGGGATAGCTGGAGATTACAACTCAAGCTATTATAGATTTTACAGGTTTCCTTATTGAGTATGTTTTCGGGACATAGACACAACCCCGGCATATGCTTCACTCCTTCGACTAAGTCAAAATGACTGCCAACCTTCTTTTTGCAACATCCTACGCCCCCAAATCATGCTGTCTGGTACCCTAACTAGAATTCAACACCCGCACCCCCACATGCCAGTACATCTTCCCCCAGTTTTCATACAGCCCCTCTGGGTTGGCCACTAAAACCCTTTGAAAAATATTGGTATATAGGGTCCCTTATCAAAGCCATTAGGGAAAATTATTAAATATCCGAGGGGGCTACCCTCCCCTATAAACTATAAACCGTTAGAGAGACGGCATGCGCTTGACACTGCTGTGCCGCAGGCTTCTTGGAGCTTGGAAACCAAGCCAACGAACCTCACACACCAAGCCGCAATTTTTGGCTTTCGAAGCAGAAATATATCTTGTTTGAGGATACTATGAAGAAAAGGGGAACGTAACCTTACTATCTTTTGTGTACTTGGCCCCTAATCAACGTACTACCCCATTGAGCAGTTTCAGGAAGTGCGTTTCAGATCAGGGGGAGTTTGCGTTTGAGAGTATTTTTGGGGTTTGTGGGGAGGTATGCACAAAGTATCTATAGTTCCTGTATGTTCTCCCCAGGGTACCTTCCCCCCTCAAATCGTGTTGGCGAGATTTTTGGGGCTGCAGAATGAAAAGTCTGGCCTGTGCAATCACAGCTGTAAATCATATCCTCCATTGCTTAAGGTCTATTGGTTTTCTATCAAAATTTGAGTTATGAATGCTCTCACCTTCTGGAGGCTTTCCAAAAAAATCCTCTCCATTATATACACCCAAATGTACAATAGCCCTTGTTCCCACAATTTCCTCAAAGGGACGCCTGATTTTGAAATCCGCTTCTGATCACTGGGAACAACTTCTGCTTCTGTTCCAAACGTGCACAAGGCTGCCTCTCAACATGAGGAAGTTTCCCAAAATACAGTAGGAAGACCCCGATATGGACACCCAAAGTCTATAATTCTATAATCCCATTATGTGGACCCCCCAAAAAGATAACCCTAATTTTGGGAAACCCTGATTTCTGAAATGGGCAACCCATGATACGCAACAAGATCCTAGGATCTTTAGGCCAAGGACCCCATGGTCAAAAAAGACACCCTACACCCTAAACCCTAAGCCCTAAACCACCTTCTGGAGAATCTTATCCTTCCCTGTACACCGTAGAAGAGCGCTAAATCTCCCTACCATATACCACAAACCCTAAACCTCTGATGGCAAAACCACTGCAATTTGCTGAAATGCCTGAGCCAAAAGAAGTGTTCGTTTTCAGTAGAGTTGAACAGGATTAAAGGAATCCCAAAAGGTAACTACTCTGCTGGTCAGACCCATCCACCCTGCATCAAGCCAGTTTTGACTTAACTTTTCTTGTCACTTTGGTCCCCCATAGGTGGTAGTTCTTGAAGATCTAAACCCGAAACCCGAATCCCTACACCCTAAACCCCTAAATCCTAAACCTTCGTGAATCCTAAAAGCTAAATCCTCAACCATATTACTTTTCAGGCAGGTTCAATTTCGTCTTTGGCTTGGTCCAAGGGGCGTCGAAAGATGCACAGGTTGCGAACCTCCAGTCATAGCCGAAGGACTGGGAGTCACCTGAAAGTTATAGGGCTGCGGGTTTGGGGTACCCTAAACCCTAAACCCTTAGGATTCAGGGTTCGGGATTTCGGGCCTGAATAACTACCAATGATGGAGGATCAAATGGAAAACAAGATGCAACAGGGTTGGTTTACATCCGGGCTTGCAACTGACAAGTAGATCATACTGCTGATTGTTTTACCAGGAATGAAAAACCCTGAATGAAAAGGAACATGGAAGCTATTATAAGTAATAATAATACTAGTAGTAGTAATACTGACAGTGATACTTGTAATAATCGTGAGGGATAGGGTCCAAGCTCCGAGCTGCGGGTAGCTGCTACTGTGGAGACCTTCGCACTTATGAGGATTTTATAGGGGCATGTACGAAATATCCGGTTCAGGGCGTAGGGCGGTTAAACTTTAGTGCTGGCTTCTCCAAAAGCCTGGGAGCTCTTGTTAAGCCCTGAACCCTAGAGAGTTTCTACTTGTGTCTTAAACCCTAAAGCCTAAAGAGTCTCTACTTGGGATTTTCCCTGTGTTCCCCTAAGCCCTAAACCTTAAACCGCGTGTAGAATCTCCTACTACCCCTGTCATACCTACAGCTGTTCTGTGGTGAAGGGCCGACTCGAGAATCTCCTCAGGTTCCTGGTGAGAACAACGGTATAACTTTCCCGCAGTTGGGGTTTAGGGTTTAGGGGTTTAGGGGTTTAGGGTTTAGGGTGCAGAAAATTCCGTTTTGAATAGTTCTGAGGTACCGGACACATTGCGGATTTCGTGATTTCAAATACTGCTTGATGTTACTATCCCTATCAGCTGCACCAATCAGAAAGATGAGCACAGGAAGTGTTCCATCTATCCCGTCTGATTATTTCATTGTGACATGGCTCTTCTTCCTTTGGCGATAATCATGCTGATCCATGCTATCCCGCTCATTCTTCTATCAAAAAAGGCTTTCCCTCGCCGAAAACAGCAATTAACACCAGAACGCTCCAATTCAAAGGACCCTACTCTTTGTCTGGGTTGCTGTTCAGGAACGTAAATTAAGTGAGAATATATCCATAGTAGGGTATGGGTAACTTGCCTTGCGTTCCTCAACAGAAGCCAGCTTATGGGACCCCTGATTTGATAGCTTCCCAAAATAAGGTGACCCCACTATAGAGCCCAATATATTATAGTCCTTCTTATAGGGGATCCCCAAAAAGGTACTCCTAATTCTGGGAAACCCCCATTTTGGAGTTGGGAGGGTAAAGCCCTCTGCAAGCTCGACGGACCTGCGCAGATCGCTCAGCTGCGCCGCCAGTCGCCTGCAAGCCATCCAGACATTCTTAGACTGGGTTGCTGTTAAGGAACTTAAATTAAGGGATTATCCCCCTATAATGGAGAATCAAATGGAAAAGAAAATGGAAAATGAAATGGAAACTGGGGGAATATAGGGATTTAAGGAACTTAAATTAAGTTACTATATTGGGGAAACCCTATTATTTACTATA